GGGCATCCTGATGATGGGGAGATGGGAGGGGAGGGCCGTCCCAGGGGGGCGCATTAAAACGCCGACGCCGCGGGGGGGAGGACAGATGGGCGCGGGGTCGCCAGGGCCCCATCCCCGGCCTTGGCTCCTGAGCTGTGTGATCGCGCTGCGCTCCAGTACAGCTTATTTCTGCCTGAGTCAGCACTTCCCATTGTGCTCTCCTGTAACGACCTAGCCTGTGCTAACAGATTACGTGACATCTACCCGCTCCTCTCTGTATCTCTGCGGGCTTGTTATTTCCTGGGCGGAGCTCGATCCGATCGCCCCGCCGGTATTTATGGAAACTCCCTTCAGAAATAGCCCTGAGACAAATACGAGGGAAACGTCACCTGGGTTTCAGGTGCCCTGGAACAGATTCCTGAGGGATTTTTCTTAACCTGCCCCTTGTGTTATAAATAGAAAGAGCTGTAATAGTTGAACGTTTATTATTTTAACGTTACCATCCATCAAGAAAAATGTTATACTTTTTGTTAGACATTTTGATTTCACTTTTATTGTAATTACTTTCATATATTAACATATAAATGCAGTTATGAGCGCTGTGTCTTGATGTCTCTCATTTGCGTGTTGAGCATGTTTCATTCTTTAATATCACTTTTTGGCACCGTTCTTGCACTTGCTAATAACCATTTCCCGTGTTATCACTTTCTCTGTAGGGAAATTTCCCATCTTTCACCAGGGCTACTTTCTAGCCAGCAAAGTTATTAATGTTAACCTTGCTTGTGACCGAACAAAGATGTCAGAAACATCTGTAGGGGGCAGTAGAGGAATCTGGCTGCTGGAAGCAGTTCCTCTGTGGTACTGTGACTCCCCGTTCCCGTTACCAACATTTTGACAGCCGTCTCATTGGTTTGTTCCACTGCTCCGTTGACTTGGCCCACCCCAGCAATTCTTTGAGTGGGTCTGTCTAGTTGAGGAGGCTCATTGATCAGTCAGTTGGGTCCCCCTTGTTAGTCTGTCTTGTTGACAGCAGCAGCTGTACGTCTCAATGGGTCATAGTATAAAGAACGGTTTCCACCCCAGTGACTTTGTGGGGAGACAAAAATGACAACGAGCACCGAAGACAGACATGGCTAGAGGAGAACAGTCTGCCAGTGTCTTATGTTTGATAATTCTGAGATGGTTTACCCAGAATAACCAGGCCACCTGACCTGAATTTCAAATTGTGCGTTTTGTGGCTCAAAGCGATGTGTCAGTCTAGCAGGCAAACTCTAAATAAATTAAAAAAAGAACACATCCAAGAGATTTTTTTTAACTTAGCTATGACGGGGCTAAACTGCCAGATGTCATAATGGTTTAGGTATGATGGGTAAACATCTTATTAGCGAGGCATTTACTTCTGCTACACTCAGGGTAGAACCTAAAATGAACCATCTGCTTATTGTTAAAAAAACCAAAATGTCAGAAACAATGAAAAACATCAAAAGCTCATTCTCTTTACCACACATATCTCTGGGGGAGTCTATACCCATGATTTCTGATCTGTATACAGTAAATTAATCAATGGGCACTTTTATGCAACAAGAATTGCTTAAAGTCCTCCCATTCCTTCAGGCAAATCCTGAAAAGGATATTTGTTGGGGGAAAAAAACAGGGATCATTGGTCTTCTGGTGAACAGGAGGAGTTGGGCTGCCAGAATATGATTTTGTCACGTGAAATATGGCTGCATTTTGTATAGGAAGCCATGTATACAGTGGACAGTGTATACAGTGTCCAGCACTGCACTCTTATTGCTTTGTCCTGTTCAGCATCCTGATCTTGTGTTTGCTTAGCAGTTTGCATGGCAAACAGCTTAGCTAAGACGACCTGTTTCTGAACTGCCTTTGGTGTGTGACTGAGAGAGCCTCTGTTTGAAAATGAGTCTCCTGCAGTGGACTTGCCTCGCATACAGGATAAGCTGTGCTACATTCAGACCATAGATTTTTAAGGCATGTCTAAACATCCATTGAAATTCGATTGACAGTGTATGCAGCCCCAGTTAGACGCATATGAATTGTATGTGCATTATGCATTTATGTATGCATTTACAGTATGAACATAGCAAATAAGGATCTTAGTGTTACACTTATTGGCAAATTTAAGGCTTTGAAATCTGTAGCTTTTCCTTTTTATTGATACTGGAGGGATTTTATAGGGAAAAGTTATTTTCAGAGATATGTCAAGTAATTGCAAATAAGATATCTACTCAATGAGTTACACATTTTATGAGAGCATTGCCAACAAATGACTTGAAAATTGAGTGACTGTTTGAGAATCATTAATTTGTGGTTGCTATGGAGCGGGACTGTTACCGCTAAGATTAGACAATTGCACCTGTGCTTTGAGGGATAGGATTGTCCAGATGCAATGACTTATATATGATGCAAGACCAGAATAGTTTATGGGTTTTTTTTGCTGCCTAAGTTTGATTAGTTGCAGAGCTGAGGTCTGAAGATCAAAAAGAGTAAAGATGAAGAAAGAAAGCATAAATACATTTGTATTGTTGCTCTGTGTGAATATTGAGACTTAAGTAAATTGCAGTTTGACAGTTCACAAGACAGATGGCGAAATCCTCCCTGCGTGTCCATTCTTCTTTGTGATGATATTTCCATGTTTCATTCAAGTTTAATTTAAGGAACGTCAAAACAGGTGGAAATCGTCTACGGAAAGCACAGGTTAATTACGGTTTGCATGGCCAGGCATGAGTTTAATTTCCAGGTTAATGGCCTATTTGAAATGTTATTTACGAAGGGACAAATTGTGATTAAAAGTGAGTTGTGAAAAGCTGCTGTGTCTCTTTTAAAATTCCCTTCAGGCGCTGAGTCTGAAGCTCTCTATCCTAGATTACCCGTCGGCAAGTCGGAATCTGTTGTGTGACCAGGGCTAATTAGGGGCTGGCTAAGAGCACAGTCATTTGCATAATGGGAGGTCTGAGCACAGAGCTAATGGACGACCACAGAGGACTCTGCGTTGGCATCCTGGAGACGTTAAATCAGAGTAAAACTTTTTCCAAAATTCCCTCCATTGGCCAGGTTTTGTGGCAGCAGGTCTAATAGGATATTATTTGATTTATTATGCTTGTTTTGGTTTAATACATTGCGCCGTCTTCCACGGTATTGGGTTTACTTTGGCCCTGGTGAAGAATGACCTGTCATTAAACTGTGCGCCAGACCAAGTGGTTCAGCTGAAGCTGAAGATGAGAGTGGATTCGAGGGCGCAGACCCCGGAAGGCGGGGCTAGGAGAATGGAGAGAGATTGCTGTTTAGGAGGAGGTACCCATGCACTGTGTGGGTGTGGGGTGAGAGTTTAGCTCAAGGAAGTCTGGCTTTCTTATTGTATGTCAGAGTAGAGGATTGTGGGTAAACTGTGTGGACAATGAAAAATTACACCGGCGCTGAAAACTACTCATTCAGCAGGGAGAAAAAATTATTTGCCATTGTTCTTTTGTTTAGCTTAGTAACCCTTGCTATATTTTACCATATTTTACTGGTATCTTAGTACAGATACCAGGCTTGACTCCTTCATGAGTTCTGAGGCTGCGTGAAGCAATGGCCAGCTATTCCTAAAGATGCAATTCCGGCAGAAAAGACTCTGACATTTGCTGTGCTGTTTCTCTCTCGCCTTTTGTATGCGTGTGTGTGTGTTTGTGCACGTCCACGTGCGACTGTGCACGTGCGCTTGAGGCAGACATAGACGAGTGCTCCGACGGGTTCGTGGAGTGTGACAGCCGGGCCACTTGTGTCAACCTGCCAGGATGGTACCACTGCGAGTGCCGTGATGGTTACCATGACAACGGAATGTTTTCACCTAACGGAGACTCCTGTCAAGGTGGGACTGAGGTTATGGAAGCTAACTTACCATCTCCCTGTGCTTATCTGCTAACTAAGTTAACCTGCATCTAGGCTCAATAACTCTACCAGGGGTGGGCAATCTTATCCGCAAAGGGCCGGTGTGTATGCAGGTTTTGGGGATAACCTGTAGGTCAGCTGTTCAAACTCAGGTGTGAGGACTCTTCAGCCAATCAGTCCTCTAATTAGTGATCTATTTAGGGAGTTAGAGTGAAAACCCGCATACCCAACGGCATTTTCTGGATAAGATAGCCCACCCTGGTGCTATACCATCATACCGTCCAGGCATTGTACTGCGGAATACGGTATTTCGACTGTATTTATAAAAGCAATTTGCCAAGCGGCCTACTTTTGTCACCACGATTTCCAAAATAATGCAGTACACCCAAAATATGGCGGTATCCCCAAAATACCGGTTTACCGTCATGCCACCCAAGCCTACCTGCAGGGGTGCTGTAAAGGGGGGGAAGGTTAGGATCATTCTAATTAAAAATCTGGAACATAATTGGATTGGTCTAGGTTGGGAGCCCAATATTACATGCATGTCTACTTGCATGTGAATCCAAGGGCTTGAGGTCAAAGGTCATTTCACTGTGTATAAGGAGCAATAAGATCGAGGTGCATGGTGCACATGGTGGTGGGTAATGCTAAGGGTGGCTAAGGCTAATATGAGCATGGCGGTGGGTAATGCTAAGGGTGGCTAAGGCTAATATGAGCATGGCGGTGGGTAATGCTAAGGGTGGCTAAGGCTAATATGAGCTCGTATCCAGACTGATCTGCATGCAGGCATGCTTTGGTGAATCAGGTTCTGCGTGGGCATGTGTGTGAAATCCTGTCTGTGACTACGCCACATCGTATGACTGTGTGACTGTGCAAATGTTCGGCCCCCCCCCGCTTCAGACATAGACGAGTGCCGGACGGGGAGGAATACCTGCGCCAACGACACCGTCTGCTTCAACCTGGAGGGGGGGTATGACTGCAGGTGCCCCCACGGGAAGAACTGCACAGGGGACTGTATCCACGAGAACAAGGTCAAACACAACGGGCAGATCTGGGTTCTGGAGAGTGACAGGTGCTCCGTCTGCTCATGTCAGGTGAGTCCCTCTCAAATGTAGGGATTTTATTTATTTGTTAGTTTCAGATACATTTTTAATACAGTTTACATTATCAGTTGACTGTATGGGTGTGTGGCTCTGCAGATTAGGACACTGTGCCTGCGATTGGAAGGTTGCTGGTTCAAATCCCTGATTTGGCGGTGATGTCACCGTTAAGTAAGCCCCTTAATCCCAAATTGCTGACCCTGTCTTCTCAAAAAGTGTCACTTTGGAGAAAAGTAAAGTATAAGATTACAGTATAAACATGATTTGTTGAGTTCTTTCATTGATCAATAACATACCACATACCTCCAGGACCTGAGTTCAAGGTTTCACATTGGATCTATGTGTGTGGAATTTGCATGTCCCCCACCCAACCCCCCCTCCCCTGTGTTGTCTTGGGGGTAGGGTTAGGGTTAGGGTTAGGGTTTGGATAAGGGTTAACTGCAAAACAATTTGAAGTTGCCAGATTGGGTGAATGGTGTGTGTGTGCTCTGTGATGGGTCGGTGTGCTGCAGCTTCCGGGTTCAGTTCTGGACCCCATGACCCTGCATAGGACATTCAGGCACAGAAGGTGGATAAGGCAAGCTTAGTGGCTGGTACTGCTGCCTCTCACCTTCAGAGTTGGTATGTGCTCAGTGATGCACTGGCATCCCATCCAGGGTTGCGCCCGTGACCCTGAGCTGAATAAGTAGTTAAGGGACGAGTGGATTTTCTTGTAGATTGGTAGCATCACTGGCAGTGTTTAAGCAGAGAAGCAGACAGGTCCAGTGGCTCACTGTAGATTATGTCCATTAACAAATGAGCTGTATTGGGGGGGAGTGCAGTGCTGATGGGCTTGGCCGGTTCACCAGGAAGCGCACCTCTGGTTACAGCCAGCGAGTAAGTAGGACGGGTTCGGGGGGGGCGGGGCAGCTGCCAGCTGATAAGTAGGTCCCCCCTCCAGGATTAATGGGCGTGCCAGGGTGATTAATGAGTCGCCTCCACGCTGCCGCAACAGTAGCTCAGTGCAGAAAGTAGGTCCCTGTCTCCCCAGACTGAGTAAGCGGCCAGGATCCACTTGTTTACATCCTAATGTGTTTGTTGCAGCGTTTTTTCGCCAGGTGGGACACTCCGCCTGTGTGCCATTATACAGCAGCCTGCTTGTGTGTTGCATCTCCGTGATGGATCTCTGAGTTCATTCTGCATTTTTCTGTGCTCCCACTGCCGATATGCTGTGCAGAGGCTCTGTGTTCGACTGCTCATGTCTGGGATTCTCCATTCCTCTCTTCTCCTACTGTCTATGTGTTGTGTTGAGGCTCCATGTTCAATTGCTCATGCCTGGTGTTCTGCGTTTGTCTGTTCTCCCACTCGTGTTGTGCCGAGGCTCTGTGTTCGATTGCGTTTGCCTGAGCTTTGATCATATCCGCACTTGGCAGAGCGGGCTGGTCCTGTGCCGGCGGATGGTGTGCGACTGCGACAACCCCACGGTGGATCTGTACTGCTGTCCGGAGTGTGACCCGCGTCTCAGCAGCCAGTGTCTGCACCAGAGCGGTCTGAGGGCTTACAGCAGCGGGGACACCTGGTTGGAGGGCTGCCAGAAGTGCCAGTGCTTGGTGAGCCAATCACACACTGTGCCTCATTCTTTGACCCACCTTCCTCAGACTCTAAATAACCCTGCTGTGTGGTATGAGTTGTTTTTTTTAATAGGTAGTTTAAAAGGTTTAGGTGTCTTTAATTTTACCCACAGCTCCATACATTAGGGCACCATAATAGACGGTTGATTTCATGCACACAAAAATAAAACGGAACAGGATTTCTTAGGGATCTGGAGCATACATAGCAGGGCATTACAAAACTCCCATCATGCATCTTACTTGCCCTCCTGTTCCCCTTGTGCCTACTGCGTGCACATGACGGTCCTGGATCATGATCCCGTAGTCCTCCGATGAAGTTACACTCCTCTCATTCAGGAGTGAGCGATGGGACAAACACTAGGTGGCGCCGAGGAGTATCGTGGCAAATCGGAGGGCCGTTGAAAGCAGCCTGAGGTGGTGCAGCCCGGCAGGGTGTCGTCGACGGTGCTGCCTAAAGGGCTGGGAATGAATACTCACCATTGGCCGCAAGTTCTGACTGAAAAACATCCAGTTTCTGGCTGAAGCACATTTCAAAGTCAACAGCAGAGTAAAGACGACAAGGCTCTCTCAACGGCTAATACAATTCAGTTCATATGCCAGTTTTGAAAAAGAAAATCTCCCAAAATGACGTTTCCGTAGCACAGCTTTGTTGGATGATGGGTAAGAGAATCCCATAATCCCCTGCTTCTCTGGGTTACAGAATCCTCGGTAAGACTGCTAGCGGGAAACATGGAAACATCTTTGGAAATGGCAGAGGTTCTTCGGTAGAGTGTAATGCTCTCAGATTTACTGATCCCTGTTCTGTATATGTCGCTGTGTACCGCCGGACGTTTGAGCCAATGAAAAGAGAGGCTTGCAGAACGCTTCGGGACCCGTTTTGTAACGTTGCAAAGGGGCGAAACCACAAGATGTCACGTAGCAGCAGTCCCTGGCACTGAGCATTTTCTAACCTTGAACACGATTCACTGCAAGAGCCGTTTCAAAACACTTGCCGTAAGAGGAAGCTCAGTGCTGCGTATTACAGGAAAACCGAACAGAACATTGCCAAATTACTCAAGGCTGAGAAACATAACCATGACTTATAAATTCTGATGCAGAATGCCCTCCCCCACCACCATGAGGGACCTGGCAGGGGACATGGCCGCCCACGTGGAGACAGATCACTGGGCCCGCTTGTGGCAAGAAACTGAAGAAATTGCAGCCATATTACCCAATCTGTCTGAAATATGCATAATTATTAAACCTATTAATTAAATACAGGGTACAAGAACACTGCATTGTGGTTCATGAGAATTAGAATCAAATATCCTGAACACTGGTATTCTGTAGAGGTGACTAATGTTTGTTGTAATCCGTCAAGTTTCCTTCTTACCTGTGATGTTCCGGTCAGAACACCTGTTGCTGCTTTCTGATCTTTCAATCCCGCCCCCCAACAACCGTCTCTGCTCCGGGCCACAGCGGGGAGAGGTGGACTGCTGGCCACTGCCCTGCCCACTGGCTGACTGCGAGTTCACGGTGGTGCCCGAGGGCGAGTGCTGCCCACGGTGCGCCGCCGACCCATGCCAGGCCGACGCCGTCCGCAACGACCTCACCAAGACGTGCACCGACGAGCTGGGCATAGCTCGCTTCAGTGGGGCATCCTGGACCAAGCATGGCACCGAGTGCACGCTCTGCCACTGCAAGGTAAGGCTTGTTAGCTATGTGCTAACTGTGCTAGCTGCTAATAGCCACAGGGTAACTGCACTCACCACCAGTAGCCACAGGCTAACTGCACTCACCACATATAGCCTCAAGCTAAGTGAGCTCACCTTCGGCAAGCCTTAGGGTAACTTCACTGGCGATTAGCAGCTGTACGTTAATTCTGTTCATCTGCTCATAGTTAGTAGCTGCAGGCTAACTGTTTAGCAGGTGACTCTACTCACAACAGTGACTCTAACATGACTTCCTCCCCACTCTGCTCTCTCCCCACCTCCTAGAATGGACACATCTGTTGCTCAGTGGACCCCCTGTGTCTTTAGCCGCTGTGATGGGCCTGAGAGGCTTTTGTACAGTCTTCTTTCCATAAGAACTACCCTTCCCAGAAACCCCTTTATACCAAAAAAACAGTGTCATGGCGCACCAAACAGACGATGGACCCTCGACCCTCTCCCCGCAGTATTCCTCAACACGCGTGCCGGCCTGTTGTGAGGACGTGATCTACATCTACGACAGGACTTTGTAAAAAGTACCCGTACTGGCATGAGCCTTCTAGCTGTTGAAAACTGATTGATTTTTTAATCCATTTTCAATGCAGAATAAGTGTCTGGGAATCCCCTTAAGTAACAATTTCGAATGTTTTATTTATGACTTTATGAGCATCGTGTGTGTTCAGTTATTTGGTGACACTGTTTTGTGTTTAATTTATCCTGTAACTTGCTCCTGTGATGTGGTGAAGTAAACATGTTTGTTTACAGTTCAGTCTGCATTTGCTCCCTTTTTTTGTCCGTATTATGATCAATAATTAAACAACTTTCTCCAGGATAATAAAAATATTCTGATTCTGATTCAATATGATATGCACCACTAAAAATACTCACATGTAAAATGTCAAACAGCCCATGGTTCAAGTTGTAAAAAAAAAACTACAGCTGATGCAAATCCCACAGTGGTACCGACATAGTGATAGAAGAAGCTCAGACACAACAACATGGTCATGGGTTCGAAAGGCTTGTTTCTCCCACTGCTATGGGGTGTAGAACCTACACCTAGTTTTCCAATCTAGTCATATTAGAGTATAGAGCACTCAGCTGTCCAGGCAGCTCAAGCTAGCTCCCTTTTCCAGAAAATACTGGCCCCGTGACTATGCTCTGTTAGACCCCATCAAAGAACCAGGCATTCGTGAGGTCATGGATGTCGTGTGAAGACAAATCATGCATCCACAGAGGGGAAACGCAACACCAAGCTATCGTCCCTGCGATGCCTTCTCCAAGGAACCATCACTGATCTGCTCATCTTATCCATGCTGTCCTAAGACACTCATCATATACATGCTTATCTGACAGACGGATCATTTCTCCTACAGCAAGGTTCTATTTAAAAAGATAGTATTATAATTTAATGTACCTTTACAAGGAATGGTAATCTTCAGTCGGGGTTTCCAAGCCCTGGTCAGTGGACCGATTCTGGTCGTTGACTGGTATTACACCAGGCTGCAGAACACTGGGAGTAGAGTTACCACCCAACCTGTATATTCCAAGATCGTCCTGTATTTTACAGATGTGTGCACTTTTTGTGTGACATTAACCGGTCCTGCAGACATCAGAATGTTAGGAATCCCTAATCTAGAGGAACCTTTATCCCAAGGTAAATGTTGTAATAGACTTAGGAAAAAATAAAATGAACAAATTGTGATGTCTCTCTAGAACATACAGATCATCCCTGCCCAACTCCATCAGCCTTGGGTAAAATTCCTGCTCGATTCGGTGACTTAATGGAGCCATTGTCTTTAATTCGGTCTATCAGACAAATATAAACAGACTGTCTCAGACAACACTAATTTGCTCATTGTTTTATTTCTGTGAGGTTATTTACTGGAACGCAAAAATGTCACACATGCCCACCAGTTTAGAGTCTCTATTTTCCATTGCTTCTGAATGCAAATTATAATTAATAGCTGTAGAGAAAATGCAGATATAATTACTGTGTCTATTTTCTTTTAAAGAATGTGACATTAGCTGTACAGCTAGTTCTTTTGAATGCAGCCATTCATTTGCTAATTAACTGTATTTTTTCTGTTTATGTTAATCAAGATTTGCTCAAGAAATTTGTATTTGGCTATTATTTACAGGGTTTATTTATTTGAGTAGTTTTGTTATGTAGCCTGATTCCAGCCTGTCATCTTAACAACGGTTGCTTAGCGACTGCACCGATGGTGTAGTGGGTGCTGTAGATCATGAGGGTTTACTATGACAATCAAAGTCACAAGGTTAGGTATGGTTTCCTTGGTTGTTTTGGCCCAGATTGAGATTCTTGTGGGTACAGGTTTGATGCTGTGTTGGGCAAAACCAAGTTGCTCCTGTTTGGATACTGATGGGAAAACTGAACAGGAGAGACAGCTTCAGAATCTTCTAGAATAGAGGCGGACCCCTTTAACTAACCACACCCAGACCGGAATGCCATAGATCCTTCTTTTTTCACTGCAACCCTTATAACAGTATTTATTCAGATCTAAATCTTCATAATATAACAGTTACAGTCTTTCTCTTTGAATCCATGTTCCCAAGGAACTGGAACTGCTGTAACAGAGTTGAGGTTTCATTTGTGCTATTTAGCTAAACTGAAAAAAGTGACAGCAGATGAAGAAGTGACAAAATAGTTGTAAAGTACTGGTTATATGTTGTGCAGACGTAAACAATCTACAAAATCTGATCTGAACAGGAATGGCTCATTGGGATGTTCACTGCAATGTTCACTGCAATGTTCATTGGGATGTTAATTGGGATGTTCATGGGGATGTTCATCGGGATGGTCATTGGGATGTTCATTGGGATGTTCATGGGGATGTTCATTGAGATGTTCATTGGGATGTTCATCGGGATGGTCATTGGGATGTTCATTGGGATGTTCATGGGGATGTTCATTGAGATGTTCATTGGGATGTTCATCGGGATGGTCATTGGGATGTTCATTGGGATGTTCATTGAGATGTTCATTAGGATGTTCATGGGGATGTTCATTGAGATGTTCATTGGGATGTTCACTGGCATGGCCATCTGGATGTTCAGCGAGATGTTCACTGCAATGTAATTAGGATGTTCATTGGGATGTTCTTTACCCTACACACATGATGGCTGATAGGACCAAGGGATTTCATAAAAATCTCTCCACCAACCTGTTATTACATAAAGTGCAGTTAGAGTATTTGGGCTGAGCTGGACTGTGACTTGGACCTGAGACAAGTCGGCCTTTAATAAGATCTCCCAGGAAATGGCCTTCCTGAACCACACTGAAGTCCCCGGGATTCCAAGCATCGTAAGGTCTTCTGAGATGGCAAGCTTGCAGTGACTAATGGGGGCACCGTCAAACTGCGCTGCTGTACAGCTAATTAAAATCTGCCTGTAATAAGGTGCGTCGCCCAGAAACATTTTCACCTAAATCACTGGTTTGATTAATTTCTTAGCAAGCCATTTTCCTGTAGTTACTCACTGAAATTTAATCACTTAATTACTGAATTAATTTTTTCCACATATCTTTATTGTTTTGCTCCTTCATTATAAAATACATGAAGAGGGCAGATATTTGTAACACAGACACACACACACACACACACACACACACACACCTGTATGAGTCGTATGAGTCTGTATACTTGAATATTGTAGCTATTTGAATCTGAATACTTGAGTCATGTGCCTGTATAAGTCTGAATACTAGGTTGGCAGACATCAGTTGATTGGTTGATATGTTATGAAATGGTAAATTGATTTTTTTAAAACATTCATCCATTCATCCATCTTCCGTAAGCACTTATTCAGTACTGGGTTGCAGTGCCGTTCTAAGCTGCATTTCTCGGCTAGGGAGTTTAAGTTAGCCTGCGCCTCCTGAGTGCTGCATAGATGGAATCAGTGTGGGTCCTGCAGCAGAGTTTGGGGTTCGATGCCTGCTGGGATGCGTTAGTCATCTGTGTCCGGGAGCCTCCGGGACTGCAGGCTGGCTGGCGTTGTGCTGGGGGAGCGCAGTGGCTGGTTTCCTCTCCCCGCGGCCGCTCTCCGCTGACACCTACCGTCCCCGGAAGGACTGTGGGTGGAAATCAGCGACTCCCTCTGTCACATCACTCGAGAAGACCTGCAGCGCGGGGAGCGAGAAGACGAGGTGGCTGGAGGAGGTGTGTGCTAATCCTGCATGGGGGGGGGAGACTGTAATGGAGCCAACTGGCTAATTCCAGATTGGGACAAAATTGGAGGGGGGGGGGAAGCACACAGGTCAGCCTCAGATTCATTGAGTAATGGCATCTTTAACTCCGAAGTCTCCAAAATCAGGTTCACTGCCGTAAAATTAAACAGATTATTTAAGTTTCTGACGACAGAGTGAGGGAAGTCCATAATCACGTTCATAAATATATGAATGCTGCAGTACGTGAATCAAAAAATACCACATTTTCAGAAAAGCCTAATTAAACATTGAGATTCACTTTTTTCGTTTTCCATTTGGTACATACAGGCTTCTCACTCGCAGACCTATCTGTTCTATAATGCAATGTCTCCCAACCTGGTCCTCATGGACCCCTAGACACCCCCCCATCCCCCTGCCCCCCCCCCAACTCCCAGTGTAACCTTAACCCTCCTGCGAGCTGAGAGGGAGCAAATACATGGACTGTCTGGGGGGGCCTGAGGACCGGGCTGGGAGACAAAGCTGTAATGAAGACCTCCAATCACACTGTGGTTCCTGTCATCAGGCTCTGGTTAGTGCACAGACGCATGGACAGTCTCCCACTTCTTAGAGCACATGTAGTACTGAACAAATATGACTCACTGATCCACACTGAATTGCGTCCAAAACTCTGCGTCGTGTTCTCGGCCCATCTGGCCGGGACGTCAGCATCAACCGGCACCACATGCACGCCCTCAGAGGAGAGGTAGGGGCTGTTTTATCCACCTCCTTTTGGCACGGGAGTCCGGGAGGAGATCCATGCAGGTTTGTAAGTTTTACTGTCTGTGTCCCTTTGATGATCTCCTGTAGAAAACTCTGAAATGTCACCTGAGATGGACAATGTCAGGTCAGGTAAGCAGTTATTTGGAGGGGAGATTTCAGCAAGGCAAGATTCGGATGCAAGACTCTAAAAGCCTTGGAGAGCCTTTAAGGCTTCTTTGGGTCACAGCACATCTACTGCAGGAACACACCAGAGACTTTGTTCAAGAAATATCTATCCATCCATATTATTTTTACAGTTTTCTATGCATAACAAGGCAGTAGTGTTTGTCTCGTACTACTGTATACTTGTGTAAGGCTGGCACGACAATAAAATCTACTTGACTTGACTTGGTTTGTCCCCCATAACCCACACTGTTCCATGGTCAGTAGATCATGGTCCAAATTCATGGGGGGCAGGGGCTAGCAATGGTGAAAGTTGTTGACTGAGAAAGAGAGGAGGGATGACAATAATTGAAAATCAGCTCAGATCCCAATGCCTGAGAAACACTACAATAAGGCCCATTAGAAAGTTGGGTTTGGCGAGCAGCACTCGCCTGTGGGCACAGCGTGTTCCTCCCAGGTTCCTGTGGGTGTTCACAGGCTCCTCTGATTCCCTCACACAGCTCAAAAACACGTGGTGATGTAGAGCTGCCTGAAAATTGCTTTTACTATATGATTGTGTGGGTCTGAGTCTTGCCACGCGCTGGCATCCCGTCCAGGATGTCCCTGTGCTTCCTGGGAAGACCACGAGGATTCAGACCCTTAAGTCTGAAGGTGTGACATGGAAG